ATCGTTTAAAAAAGTATGAGTATTTTTCAAATTAATTAATTATCAAATTAATTAATTTTTGTATTGATATGTTATATAATATTCTATATTTGATAATTTCAACAAGAACTGTTACCTATGGAACCGATACTTTCTGAGCATGAAGAGATTTGTATGGATACACCACCTATTTAGCCATAAAGAATTTTATCAGCTTCTATACAACCAAATCAAAATTATTATTCATCACCACAGAGAAATGAGTAACAACCTTTTCAATGAGATGAACAACCACTACAACCATAACAAGAACGTATGTCTGTAAGTAGGAAAGATGTTGGTTGTCGTTGAAGAAGCATGGAGGAATAAGGTTGAAGATCAGTTGATTGCAGTAGTACTTGTGAAATTTCTCATGAATTTATTTCAACATATGATTTTGCGGTAGATGAAGCTTTGCCTTCCTAGAACAATTTGCCTCCTAACTTTGACATAAATGACGAAGTAACTATGGAATATGTTTCTTTAGATCAAGAGGATGTGTATCAACCACAACTTATGACACTAATGTATGATGCTACTCCAGTGCAATAGTCTATGCCAATCAGCTTATGGGATTTGACACAATAGGATTACACAATACTTAATCATTCATGCATGCATTGGAGCCCAAACCTATACCACATAAGGATGCAACAAATGAAGACCTAGACACTCAATATTTAGGAGATGATGCAAGTTAGCTAAAAAGGCGAAGTAAATTTCTTTTTCGCAAGTTACGTCCCTTTACACATGCTCCTAATAGATATAGTCCTTCATTAATCAAGAAGAAAAAGAAAAAAGGAAGATAGTCATATTATTAATATGTAATTTAATTTTTATATTAGTATTTCTAAATTAATCATTTCTATACTAGCATTTTTTGTATTAGTAATTTTTGTATTTCTAAATATGCTTGTATATTTAGGATTTAGTAACTCCTATTGTAATATTACTAATGAAATATTTTATTAAAGGTGAAATTAAAGTATATTCTTATTTTCTTGAATGCATTCTTATTTATTTAAATATTATTAATGTCATCTTTTTAACATAATAATTTTAAGTAAGTAATTAAAATATAAAAGGTTTAATATTAAATTAACAACATTCAGTAAGTAAACAAATTGCAACATACCAATAACAACACATTAATATAAAAGATAGTCACATTAATGTTAAAGAACAACAACATAAGAACAAGTAAAGTATCATTATTAGGACAACTTCTATGACTGTAGTTTTTGCCTCGATAAAGACCAAACGCAATGGTCGCCACATTTGTCGCATATCCATTTCATTATGAAAATAATTTGATTTCATACTACCTTTTGAAGTACGCTTTAGGGTAGCTGGGTAGGTTTAGGACAAAGCTTGGGACCTCAATATTTGCGCCACTTGGATTTGTTCCCGACAACCCAAAATTCTTTCTTATAGACTTTGTATACTTTATTAATCGTATATACTTCATTCACATAAGCACGCTAGTCAATGTTTTGACTACAACAAGCAACAATTACGTGACGACATGGATATCAATCAGTCTACATGTTTCCATAATCACAATAATTTTGTCTTAGATGAACTCTATATTCTTGGTTGTTGGATAAATCCTGAACATGAAAAGTCTCATGATGTCTATCGAATTGAGTGATACGAAGATTTCTTGAGCCATACTCGTTTGATTGAAGACAACTTGTAATATTCTTAGAGAAAAAAATTCCAACATTTTTTCGTGCATAAGCCTCGCTTTTTTTATATGCAAATAACTATATCAATCGGAAGTAAGTGGCTCTAATAAGTGTTGTAATAGGTAGATTGCGAGCACCTTTTAATACCAAATTAATGCATTCAACAAGATTCGTTGTCATATGACCCTATCAATGTCTGCCGTCAAATGGTAAAACTCACTTTTCTCGTGAAATTTCATTAAGCTAGTTTATATAGATTTATTCATGTTCCCGTATTCGCTCATAATGAATATTAAATTCATGCTCGGTTTTAGAATAACCTACAAATAACAAATTCAAATTTATTAAGCATGGAGAATGTCATCTAATAATATGTTTTTTATTTTATTTCAAATGTAGAAATGAGGTTTATTACCTATGCAGACGATAAGTTTATGCAAGTAGGGAGCCTTGATCACAAGAAATTTGCAGCAATGTGCCTGATACAATATATATGGAATGCTCATGGAGGTTTCCATTGTCCATTACCTCTTCTTATTGATGCATTAATTGACCCGTGACGATAGAAATAATGCCAACACCATCTTCAATAACAAAGTATTTTCATAAATTTTCAACGAAAAAAATGTCTAGCATATGTTGTCTCACCCTTAATAACAAGGAAGGCAATCAGCAGTATATTCTGATTTTCATCTTGTGCAATTGGCATTAGTGGAACTCCCTTGTATTTACGATATAAATGTGTCTCATCAACCTGCATAAGTGGCTTGCAATGTCAGAATGCTCTAATGCAAGGACCAAAATTTCAAAACACTTGATGTAAAATTTGAACATTGGGAGCCAATTCATCACTGTGAATTACGATAAGCCTCTGCAGCATCTAATTGAATAACAAATCCTCAGACAACGTCACATATTTCTATGCACCATTGTGACAAAGCTTCAAATGAGATTTTCTATTGACCAAATACTTTTTGTATTGTCTTTTGTTTTGCCAACCATGCTTTCTGATACATTGTTGTGTACCCAAATCGAGACAGAATCTCTCCAATCACTAGTTTTATTCTAAAAAAAGGATCAAATTCTATTATTAGCTTTATACATTCTACAATTGCGTCTATATCCAAATTTTTGTAATCTTGAGAAATGCTTCCACTAGTACAAGTGTGTAGACTATTATATTTTCTAATTTTCCAAAAATATTTGATCTTTCTTAAGCTAGCTCAAAAAAGCCACATGTAATCTATGTCATACCTTATACATTTGCAATTAAAAGTATTTGGTTCTAACTCGAACACTTTGTTGTCTACTCCTTTTGATATACTATAATGTTTTATAGTTTGTATAATAGCTTCTTTATCACTGAATTTTCTTCCAACATATAATTTATCATCTCTCTTTGTGTTCCTACCAATAGCAAACATAAACTAATTAACAGAATAAATTTTACATACCTAAGTTGGCATGCTTTGGAAACTTAGCAGCATTCATAATATCAATGGCTCCTCAAATGGATGTTGCCCAACTAAATGGGGTACTTCTCATCATCAACATCATCATCAAAATCCTCATCGCTTCTATATTCTTCTACAAAGTCGTTGTCATCACTTTCAATGTTGTTGTGTTTCCATTCTATCCTTGTGTCTAGCATGGTACTCGCATATTCTTCTTGAAACTCATTATTTTAAACATACAACTCAATGATACCACTTGAAGGATGACGTTGCTGATGTATTTGAAATATTTGTTGAACATTATTATTGTTGGTTATTTGAATTGTATGATGTTGCATGAAACCGCTATATGTTGAGATTGAATATCAATACATAATACTTTCCATTGTTTTTGGAAACGAAACATCAATACATTGACAAAACCAATACTTTAAATCTCTAAATGATACATTATTTAGAATCTCACCATTAAAATAAATTACAACTGTCACACTCATTTTTTCTTTTAACAAACACGAGATTCAGCAATATTAGGGCTTTGAAGAGTGACTTGCTATCAATGAGGATTACATTATTTATAACTTCACCAATTCAAAATCTTCATTCACAATTTATTACTAAGCAACATTTATTTTAAATAATTTTCGAACAACTTATTACTAAGCAACATTTTTTTAAAATAATTTTCATGGATCAAAGTTCGTTATTGACAACTTTTAAAATGTAAAAACTTTTTGACAGTCAAAAATCGCTAATAGTAATTTTTAGTATCGTTTTTTACTTCTTCTTTTAAAAAAAAACCTCTAATGGTGACTTTTAAATGTAAAAAATTATTATTTTTGCCACCCTAAAATCGTCAACATGACTTTTATATATATAGAATTATTTGATATGTAAAATCATCGTTGGCAATTTTTTTAAAAAAATTATATTCGGATAAATTTATCAAAAATATCATATTTTAGTAATTTTATAATTAAAAAATGACCCTACGATTGTGCACAATAAATATTAGAACTTGAACTTTATCATTAGCATTTTTTAAAAAAAAAATTATATTCAGGTAAAAAAATATCATATTTTAGTAATTTCATAATAAAAAAATGACCGTCGATTGTGCACAATAAATATTAGAACTTGAACTTTATCATTGGCACTTTTTTGAAAAATTTATATTCAGGTAAATTTGTCAAAAATATTATATTTTAGTAATTTCATAATAAAAAAATGACCCTACTATTGCGCACTAAATATTATAACTTCAACTTTTCGTAAGGAAAACAAACGAAACGTGTATGATCGCATGTTGCCAAAAAAGAAATTGAAGTTACATTTAATTCTCTCTTTATATATATATTTTTCTCTTCAGAATATAAATCCTGATCCTCTTTCTAAATATGTAATTCGCTAACTTAACTCATACTTGTGCAAGATGCTTCTTCCCAGAGCAACTGTAAAATTAATCACACTTTTCCTTTAATAGAAAAATAGTATTGCATTTATCTTCAAAACAATTATTTTCATTTTTTACTTGTCAGTATGACAAAAAGGAAAATACAACACTTTGCAACTTTCTTTAACACACTTTTTTGTTAGATATATAGATCTCATTAAATGAAATGTAGACCTAAATTTAGTAAACCACATCATTGCTTAATTAACGAGTTAAAATTTATGCGAACTCTCTTCAGGACAGAAATACTACAACACTATTTCACTTGTCCCCTGCTACACGAGCCTTTTTTTTAAGGCTGACTTGCACTAACGATATAAGACAATGATCCATAGTCGTCGTTAAAAAAGAAAATTTGGCCATTGCTTTTTAAAACGAACATATGGAAAACTCGTCTTCTGCTCTGCTCATAGGAACTGAAATTTTAAGGTTCTTCAACTACTTTCAGTTGGGAAAAATATCTGAATGTTACCATGAATCATTACAAAGAAATAGCTCTTTTATTTTGGAAAGATTTGGGAATGGAAATTACAAAAAAAAAAAAAAAAACTTATTTACACTGATCAGGTGACCATTAGCAAGACAGTCAACAACAGATATTATGACCTGAGAATAAGTATTAGTGTGTCAGGCCCCTTATGTGTAAGGATGAAATATTGATGTTTAGATATGCAAGAAAAATAAAGAAAGAGAGAAAACATATAACCCATCTCAGCCTTTGCTGCATATCCCAAAGCTGCACTGTATGCACATAGTTCTTCCCAATTCTGATTGTAAGATCCTGAATAAAAAAAACATATAGCGTATGACTTCCCTTGAACAGCACAGCAAAATTCATATTTGAAATCTTACTCTTCTGAAACCGTACAAGAGAAAAATGCGATTGGAAGAATTCATATAGTATTGTAAAATCTTACAAAAAGAAAAAGGTATAACCAACCAACCAATAATAAAAATGCAGAGATAATGAAGGGAGGAGGGGGTGATGGCAAAATGATAGCACTTTGTTTCCTCTTTTTCCAGAAGAGATAAATGGCTTATCATTTCATGGCAAGGAAGGGCATAAGAAAACAATACACATTTTACTAACCATGAAAATCTGGTTCGGAGAAACTCATTCCTCATCACTATCATACACAACTGCCATTCTCCGGTGGGTGGTTGTTTTCCTTGGAGGAGAGTCCTCATCAGATTCAAATCCCTTCCTTTTAGCACTGCCTCTAAACTCCTTGCTCTTTTGCTTTGGTTCCTGCAAGAAAACATCCAAATAGTATTGAAACCAAGGCAATCGATCGTGTTATCCTCCTTATTTTCCACCATGACTCAAAAAAGTAGAACAATTAGGGGAGGATCATATATTGATCTCCCAACAAGTGCAGAAATGATGACAAGAAAACCAACAAGAAAGAAACAAACACAATAAGGATGCTCAATACATTGATGCAACATTAATGATTAACTAAACTAATACAAAGCAGTATTTTATCAGAATCCAAATCTATGCTGAAGAATATCATGCTCCCACACAAAGGCCTCCAGCTTCTTCAAGCAACATTATTAAAGTTTAATCAGGATAACAAATAGTGCTCCATTATTTACTATTAAAAAACTTGGTATACCGTATAACTCAACTCCAAAAGGTAGCTTATAGGAAGAGGTTTGCTCAAGCCTTACAAGAAGTATTGTGGCTCTACTTTTAGTTGATGCTAGACATCTTAACACCTCCCTCATACCTAGGCCTCAACATTTAGTGCACGTTATGGCTGACCCAACATTCAAACTAGATAGGCTCTTATATCATATCAAAAAACTAGGACTAACTCAACCCAAAAACTCAGAAGGAGGTTTGTTCAGCCTTATAGAGAGTATTATGGCTCTATTCCTAGCCAATGTTCTATCTTAGCATTTACCTCTGAAGTTTGTTGTCAGATTTTAACCATAGTTGTGAGTTGTGACATCTGACAAGAAAGCAGATCAAATGCAGAAAATTGCTCACAAACAATGCCATTCATGATAAGCTATTTCACTCTCCCCACAAGTTGTACAAGCATTAAGAAGACACAGATAACAGAAAATAGTTCATTAAACAAAAATAAAAATAACTTCACCTTTACAAACGAGTCCACAGAATGGAAACATTATAAATGGGTAAAATTAAAATTTTAATACATGCAATATACCTTATTAACAAAAGGATGAACTGATAACTGATAAGCAACCTGAAACTAATTAGAAATAACACTATGGACCTATGATCAAAGTTAAAGCCAACTAATTTTTTTTTAATAAAATAAGCAGTACCTCCTCTTCCTCCTCATCCGATGCATCATTAACTTGTGCCACTTCTTCATAGTGTTCTTCCTCTTCTTCCTCATCCTCATACTCTGGCTCAGTATCCTCATCCCTCTTACGTGAAGGAAGCCTCTCATCTTCCTCATCATCAGTTTCATACTCAGACTCCTCTCTCTCATCATCAGGGTAACCCATTGGGTGCTGGGAGGATTTAGCAAGTGGAAAGGAAGATTTACGAGGGATATCTTTGGGGCCCTGCGACTAAAATTCCAGAAAGTAACCCTCATTAATGATAAATACAAAAACATAATCAACAAATGGACAAATTTCTGGAGAATAAGAAACAATACCTTTTTAGCATTCATAATTCGTTTCTCTGCTCGGGCTTCCGCTTCCAAATCATCCTCAAAGCGGCGCTGAGAACGACGAGAATCATAATAATCTGCTTCATCATCCTGAAGTAAGGAAACATTGATAAATGATGGAACTAACACGGGATAACTATGCAGATATGCTTACAGAAAACTGCAGTAAATACATAAGCAGAAAAAAAAAAAAAAAGACACAAGTTTATAGAGGAAACAAATCCTAAAATTAATACCTCATCCAAAGCATCCTCCAAGAACCCAGGAGAAAGTTGGCGCCTCCTGTCCACAGCTGGAGTATATTTTCGGTTGACCTTTTCGCGTTTACGGTTAAGCAGTACATTAGCCCTGATTGTTTGACTCTCAGCCTGTAGAAACCAAAGGGAAATTGGATAATGGTACACAAGAGAGACAATATAAGCATGTGACTATTTTGAATGACTGATTATACCTTCTCTTTCTCCTCTTTCTCTCGCTCAGGATCAATGTCAGTAATGCAGTTTTTAACCTTATAAACCTTCTTATGCCTCGAGTCAACAAGAGCAGTCAACAGCCGATGAGAGTTAGATGACAAGGAAGATGGCATAAACCTCATTTTCTTTAATAACCTTCCTTGTGATTGGAGGATTCCCTGTAAGCATGTACATAAATTACATTAGAGGGGACACACTAATTCATTGAGAAATCCATGGAAATAATGATAGTCACCTTTCCATGTCTAAGGAAAAGATGTGCTTGATCATGTTGTGCATCTTGCACTGATATGTCAAGAACTTCATTACCAATTAATAGCTGAAGGCTGCCATCAGACCACCTCACAAAACGAGCATTGCTTTCATACTACAATAGCAGGAAATGAGTGATTCTATTTCTTTAAAAAAAACTATTCATGAACATAATCATGCATGGCATTTTTTACCACAAAATAAGTGAAGCAACACAAATGAAATTATTCCAGCCTTAAAGTTTGAAGAACAGTTAACATATTAAGAACAAATACACCCATTTCATCCATGTTCTTACTTACATCCAGTAATGCAAAAGATTACATATAAGCACATTCACAATAAATTTTTATTTATTTCTACACCATCCCAAGTTCCTAACAGCAATACATATTAACTGCTTTTCATGCTTAGGCTATTTGTGAGTTCACCTTCATTAAGTAATAATAATTTGACTTTGCACATGCATAAGAAAATTGACAACAATATATTCTGTCCATATGTTAAACCAACTCAATATATGATTTAGGGCCTGAAAACCTTTTTGACGCAAATAGTGATAGGATTGCTATAGCCAACCCATCTAGTGAGAAAAGGCTTTGGTTATTGTATGAAGTTAAAGGTTTTATGTAAACATAGAACATGGAGAATTTATTTCTATTTAGTATTAGAGGAATGCTAGAAACACACTCTCAAAACACAATTTTGAGAACACACTCTCAAAACACAATTTTGAGAACACACTCTTAATTATTGGCTAAAATATATTGGAAACTAAAAAGCATAAGTGAGACTGTTAGGTAACCCACATTAGTAATTTAGTAGTTAGAATATGTTAGTTACCCATTTGTAGCTAGTACAATATGTTAGCTTGACATAGTTTATTAGGCATGTTGTCTATAAATAAGTAGAAGGGATTGAGGAGGGAGATCTTGTCAATTGTAAGAGCATTAAGGCCTTTGAATTGGGAGGAGCAGTCCCTCAAAGAACTGCAGTGTTCTCTCCATAATCAGGGTTTATCCGTAATTCTTCTCAATAAGATACCCAGTTCTACCACTGGTATCAAAGCTCCAATCTTGAAGCTGATCCAAGAGGTGTTCAGGTGAGCAAGAATGGAGACGCAAGTTCTTGAAGAGTTCAAGAAAGTATATGTGGAGATACCAGAATTTGAAGGAACAGAAGCCTATTGGTGGTTGATTAATGTGGAGCAGCACTTTGAAGCCATAGCAATAGTTGAAGAAGAAAAGATGCATAAAGTTCGAAAGGTTATGTGGGAATGTGCATTTGTTTGGTGGTTTGTGTGGAAAGAAGACAATCCAAGTGGATCATGGTGGGCCTTCGTGACGGCTTTGTTCAAATAATTCCATCCTGAATATGACCGAGATCTGCCAGTTTGGTTGAAGATCAAGGTTCTTTGGTGCAAGAGAACAAAAGAGAATATGAAGTCTTAGTGAGAACAGAACCAACAACTCAAGGGCAACAAACAAATACAAGGAAGTTACAACAAAAGCAACCCAACAACATTCTGAACAAAGCAGTCGAAAACATAAACAAGAATGAAGTTCTTGAGATGAAGAATCACAGTGGCAGAGATAACATAGAAATGGGTGTTTCTTTGGGTTGTAAAGTAGAGGCAAAATTTGAGGGAGGTCCTATGTTTGGCATGAGGGGAGAGTCAATGTCTGAACCAACAGCAACAGTGAAAGTTTTGGGTTTTGGTAGTATGATCAACCCACCTAAGAACCAAAATGTTAAAGTGGAGGATCTTGACAATTATCCGCTGCAACCATGTGCAGTAGTGTAGCAATTCACAAGGGAGCTGCGGGATCTCAGTTATTTACAGAGCCTATGATGCTCCATTCCATGGCCAAAAACAACACAGAAATCATAACACAAAGGGAGCATAGGAGTATTCACATGTTTGTGTTTGACCCAGGAGGAGTGGGAGCTATTTTTGGGCTGCAAGGTGGAGTTGGCTTATCATCATGCTTTAAACTGGAAAAAAAAAAAACCATTAAAAACTTTGTTTTGCAGCCACTATAGCCTAGAGGACAAGGTGAATGTTTAGGAGGGGAGTATTGTTAGGTAACCTACATTAGTAGTTACAATATGTTAGTTACCCATTAGTTAGTACAATAGGTTAGTTAGCTTGACATAATTATAGTGGGACTCACATAACTTTGTGATTTTCAAAAAAATTTAGCCAATAATAAAAAGTGTGTTTAAAATAGTGTCAAGTGTTTTGCCAGCATTTTTATTTGGTACTTTTGACTTGGCTGAAGTACTTCCTCACACTCTAATCTCACTAAATGATTAAGCCACCTAGCCCCAAACACATGGTTGTCAAAATAGTGATCCTCTGTATTGAATTGTATGCTTTTACAAGTCTAACCTACTGCAACTGAAGCCAACTCAGTAAAACCACTTAAAGTGCTTTCTTCTTGGTTTAGGCATAGAAGACTTTTCATTAACAACATGCATATAAGCATTGATCAAATTAGTTTAACATACACATTTGGTAAGGCATGGTATCTTAATTACTCCTAGTCTAAACTCACAAGCCTAACTAGAAGAATCTAAACCATAGTTAATAATCCCAGATAGTGGCATGGCAGAACCTAGCAGCTGGCTCTGAAAATGCTATAGTGGGAAGTGGGTTGGCTGCTACTTTCTCAATATTATAACACAAACTATATAATTTATACTGCACATATAAATACTAAAAAAATATAAAATGAAAGAAATCCATGGTAAATAATAAGTCAGTTTACACAAACAATCACCATCAATCTAGTCTAGACACAATAAGATCATTACAAATTAGATGAAAATTACCATGATGTGAACTGGGATGTCAAAAGGAAGAATAAATAGCAGAACACAAGGGAAAAAATAGTCCAGTAAAGGGTGAAGGAACAGAGGTCAAAACAGAGATAACATTTTGTGTGAATGGTCAAGGAAGAATATGTTTCTAAAACAAAAAATGAATCAGAAAATGGGGGAGAAATTACAATTTCACCAAAATAACACCCAAACAAAATTGTGTCACAGGTAAAAATGGGTTTTTGAAGCCTATATCATGGTACCACAGCTATAGAGCGTGAAAAGCTGCTATTGCAGCTGCAACGGCCACTATTGAAACCTGCTCTGTTATTTGAATCCTGTAGCAGCCTAAGGCCACTCCACTGTAGCCTCGCTATAGCCTACCATTGATGATGGGGCTGTTGGCCCAAATGACAGGCTAAGGGAAGGGGATCAGTTATTAGATTCTGTTGAGAGTGTATGTGAGAAAGAAAAAGAGCAAGGGGGCAAAAAAGGGAATTCAATAGATGAGTTAGTTAAAGGGGCATTATGAGAGTGAGAGGGGGAGGGGGGGTGAAGAGGCACTAGGGAAATTGTAAGTTGTTGCATTTTGTTAGAGGGAGCAGAATTCCAGTATTATTGGGATATCTGTAGGAGCCATAGGCTCTGGTTATGTGTATTCACCTTTTTCTTATTGGTATTCAATAATACTTGCATTTTGGTTTCCATCAATTGACTACTATGATCTCAGCAAATAAGGAAGAAATGATCAAGTCCAAATTTCACACCCCAAATCCTTAAAATGTCATAAAATTACTTCTCAAATTCTCAACCTACTGCAGTTCTCAAAAACCTTGTCCATCCATATGCCTCAAAACTAAATATGATGTTGTCAAGCAAGGACAAAATTTAAGTCATACACAAGAAATTGTAAACTCCAAAATATTTGTTGCATACATTTGCCCTGACTATCCTGAATCCATCTGAGTATGAATCTTGATATTCAAAGTTAATTATTGTATGACATAACTAAAAGTGTAAGGGTATAGTAGAAAGGAATACAAGGATATAAACGAAGAGAAAAAAAAAGTTATACAAGAAGAATATCAGAATGTCCTTCATCCCAGTTCTTTAGTTTTAGTTAGACATGGGTGATCATGATAGCATGCATAAGAAACTACAATGATATACAATTACTTACCGATGTTGTGCCATCAGGATTTCTAGTAGTCCTCCAGCGGACAATATTGTTCTCCAAGCGTATACGTTTTTTGGCTCCTGATTCATCAGTTACATAGGTGTCCTCTTCCACATATGTTTTAGGATCGAACGGTTTTGGATCAACACCCATAATGTTGGAAACTTTAATCATGTTCATCTGCCACAAGAGAGAGATTAAAATGTGAGTAGTTGAATATTGAATTCAACATACTGTACCAGAAATTCACATCATTTATAAAAGGAGTTTCATGTGTGGATAAGATCCTCTGAAGTGACAGCACATAATAAGATGTATTCTTTTTCACCTTGTTATCATAATTCTAGATGGTTCAAATCCCATCATATTAGCAACATTTCACCAACCATGACATTGGGAAGTATCAAGAAACAGTCCTACAAGATACGTTGCTTTAAACATTTCAAAATCCAGACTTTCACTCATGCACACTACACATGCCAACTTCTAAATTGTAATGGTGTAAACTATGCAAAAGAAGTGTAGCAATTACATGTATTTACCATCCAGAGTCAAAGCTAATTTGAAAACAACATCTAAAATACAGGCTTCTCACAATCTCACCCAAATGAACAAACTTAATAATTAGAGGCAGACCTTTTCTGGAAGAGCTGGAGGTGGTCGTAATGGAATCTCTAACTCTAATGGGGGCCCAAGTGGCTTCTCTTTAGTCTTCATCTCAATGTTTTCCTCCTCTGATTCATATTGATGATCTTCGTCAGCAAGTATATCTTCTGGTCTCAGGCTCTTTCCATAACTTCCTTCCTCCTCCACAGGATATCTCTAACCCAGGAAATCATGTACATCGTTAATGCTTAAAGTTTGGGCAATTCACAGATAAATGAAAAATGCCACTATTGGCACCTGATACTCACATTTGAATCTTGTTCAATGTCCTGCTGAACTGCATACCCCATATCTTCCTCTTCTTCATCATCAAAATCACCAAATACATCACGAATTTCAGGGGCCGAATGCATGTCACGAATCTGATCTTTTTCCTCTCTGGGTGACCCACTACATTTTTTAGAAAAAAGGACAAGCTTTAAGTCTAAACGTTGTGCAACAATTACAATAAATTGGCAAAATTAATACTTTGGTCCTTGAACTTCCTTTTTGCTTTATTCTAACTTTGCAAAAGACAAAAAGTATATCCTTTCTATTAGACTGTGTTAAACAGAGTTAACAGAAAAGATAAACTTGTTGGATGGTGCTATGTTAGAGGATCAAATTATCAACAACAACCAAGTCCTATCCCACTAGGTGAAAAATTAAATAATTAAGGACATTGATAGGTCATCTGTAATTTTCTCTGTTCTATATGATTCTCTAACTAATGTAACTTTTGTAACATGCATACCAATACAGCCAATGTAAAACAAGATATGTACAGCCAACCCACCGTGAAATCACACTCAGACACAGACAGACTCATTTCAAATCACCAGTAAAATACTGAAATCAAATGCACAGACAAAACCTGAAAATTTAGCCTTTACTGTGAGCCTGCTAGCTTCCCAATACCCACAGTGCAGTATCATTAATCAAGACTATTAACTTAGCTCAGCAGATGAAGCAGAAGAAAGGAAGATATCATATCATGAATTGATGAATTCTAGAGGGAAAACAAGAACAATGAAGACTTAAATTTCCACTATAAGAATAAAATAATAACCCGCTCAAAATAAAAGTACTGTTCCTGTGCCACCTCCAAAATTATTGAATTAATTTCAGTTGCTACGTACTGAACTTGTAAAGTTGTTACTGGTATGAACAGAAAAGGAAGCTCCATCTTACATCTGGCCTCTTTTGTTAATGGAACGCCACAGTCCCCTCCGAGACTCCCTCCCCTAATGTGATGAATTTATCATAAATATTAAAAACAAGAAAGAAAACCCCCACCATTTTGATTGGTAATTTGGTGAAGCCAATTCACATAACAAGTGCTATATCCCCTTCATTTACACTATACAACAATGTCATCACATATATCTTAGTTCAAATCACACCAAAAACTTCAGGCAATAAAAGTATGCCTCACAATACCTCCCCAAGTTATGGCTTTTGTAATTCAACCATACAAACATCCATTTGAAGGCAACTTAAAACGTACTCTCTGCAGAATGCATGTGTGCACACAGAGAGCTTTTTCACAAAGTAACCCGAGAATATCCGATAAACAAAGACAAAGAATTCTAACAAACCAGGCAATAACTTAATTAACAACAAAACAAATTCAGATCCCAGCTCAAACTCTTCAAATTTTTTTAATGAATAGCTAAAAGTTACAAATAAGAACACTAAGATAACAATATAATCATCACTACCTGGGGCTTCGAGCTTCATCGACTTCTTCCTCATCGTCGTGATGAGTGTAGTGGTTCTCCTCTGACCTTTCAGATCCACTCTCAACGACGTCGTCTCTACGCTTGCTAGTGACAACACGCTGGCTATAACCGTCTTCTTTAGCATCACTATCGGTATCTCTAGCCTCGCTCTCTTCTCTCTCGGCAACTTCGACTTCAACCTCTTGCGAACTTTGCTCCCTCTCACCCTCGCTTTCGCCAGGGTCAGGTTCTCCATCAACTTCGCTCTCTACTTCAACCTCTCCTTGACCCTCCACTTCGCCCTCACCCTCTTGCTCTCCCCCTCCCTCGCCCTCGTCCTGAAAATAAAAAACGAAAAAGGTGATAAATTAGAGGGCCAAACGCGGCCTTGGAAATGCAGATAGGGAAGGAATTAGGGGGGTGAAATTGGGGAATGGGGTGTTACGGAGGGGTAATTGAGTTGGGGATTGGATTCGTGTTCGGAATCGAGTTCTTCTTCTTCCTCCGATTGATCGCCGAAGAGGTTCTGCATCATCTGGTGCCGCTTCTCTTCTCCCATCGTGTACAATTTCCAATGCCAATGTCGATGTGATGTGTGTATCGCTCTTTGAAAAAGGAAGAAAACCTAGGCACGAGAGTGGGGACGGGGTCTCTTCGCCGGGCAACTGTGTTCTTCCACTGCGTTTTTTTATAATTTTATTGGATGGAATTAACTTAAATGCAATTTTAGAATTACCATATCACTAGTATTTATCTTTTTATTTTATTTTTAGAAAGAGAGGATTAAAAATAAGGTCGAAAATGCTCCTGAGTTTTTTAGTATTTTATTACTGATATTGATTGATTGTCGTTTGGCTTTTGAAAAAAAAAAATACTCGTAAATTTTTTATGTTTACCTGGCTGCGTGGAAGTATTTTGCAATGCAAATTACACTACGTGATTTAAGTTTAATACATGAGAAGTCAGATTTTACAAGGAAGATAATCAACACAATTAAACATGTTTATTTAAAATGACTCTCAAAAGTAAGCTTGTTTTCTAATTATAACTCACAAATTATATATATATAAATAGTAGATATCAACAATCAAACATGACTCTGCTGCTTCAATTCTCTAACAGAATATGTTTATTAATAAATTCATGGCCTAGATCATTTAGGTATTATTATTGTAATATTAAATTTATTTACCCATTAAATTTATATTTATATAATTTTGATAGTGATACAACAACATAATAAAATGACAACCACAATTTTATATTCCTAAATCAACATCCACCTTATTATGCTAGAAAATAGGTAAGTTCTTTTACATATAAGATTTTTCACGTTGTACACACAGAAAAAGTGGACAATAACAGTTTAAAACAAAATTAACATATTTATCAAATTCATCAATAAAAAAAACATAATAATTATTATAAAAACTAAATTATTTTCATCAATTTTCATTTTTATAAAAAAGAACATGTTATATAATAATTTAATATATTATTATTATTATTATTATTATTATTATTATTATTATTATTTGTCCAAAATTAAAGAAATGTCTTCAAGGCCAAAGGACTCAAGATTATCCCTTCTTTATAATTTGTATCTCTAAGACTTTCTAATGCACATGGAACATAATGAGACCTTACACCAATGTGCCAACCAATCAAGTTAATTAATTTAAGAATTACTAAATTACATATTTAACAATTAATATAAAAATATATATTAGTGAAATCTTAATTAAGTTTTTACTCCACCATGTCAAAGTGTAATATTAATATTCTCAAGGTATTTCCTTTTAAAATTAAGTATAATCTAATGGTTTAAATATGTTTTTAGTCTTTATATTTTAACAAATTTTTTGTTTAGTCTCTTTAAATGAATTTTTTTTTATTTTATTCTCTACTTTTTTATAATTTCTTGTTTTTAGTTTCCTATTGTTGATGTCAAATTAAAAATTAGTATGTGACACTATCTCAACAAACTAAATTAGCATTAAAAGCTAAAAATTAAAATAACATAGTTAAGCCTATTCTAAATATAGATGGAATTGCATATATACATGCCAATAAGTTGATATATCCAACTTAGCTAAATTAAAATTTTAAACCATTTCTGTATTTATATAACAAAATGTAAAAAAAAAAAAAACTTAAATTTAAGAAAGTGAGGATGACTTAATTAAAGCCTTTTCAATTTTAACATAAAGTTCAATTAAATCATATATACAAATATAAAAGAAAAAACACTTAAATTCAAGAAAGTGACAGAGACTTAATTAAAGCCTTTTCAATTTTAATATAAAATTCAATTAAATCATACACAAATCAAAATATTAAATTATTTTCCTTTTCTAAGCAAAGTTATTTTCTTCATAAATTGTTATTGAGGTAGTAAATGTGAATAAAGATATCTCATGTTGAATAAAAATTAAAAAATTAAACTACATGTAAATGATAAAAATTCACAACATGTAATAGATTAAGTTTTTGGGTGAGATTTTATATCCAATCTATTTATGTGATTTTTTGTGACTATTTGATAGAAATCTCTCTAATTTTTAGTCTTCCGTGTGCTTTAAAAGTGGTATGAGAATTGATGTTATATTAACTCAAAAGGGTATTTAAGTAAATTAATGGTGAATCTATGTAAAAGTATCACTATATAAAAGTCTTTTCAATGATGTGAAGGATAAATAATGTATCCCAACATTAATGGTATCTAACAATAATATAAGTTTAAAAGAGCATTTTGAAATCTTGTGTAATTATAAATACTCATGATTGTAAAGCTTTTGGAAGAGATGAATATATATACTTTTTCTTTTTCTTTTTTCTATATCACATATCCTTTGTTCTCTTCATCCTTGCCATGCAACTCATCTATATTTCTCTTTTATGTATGTCAAACTTGGTAAAAAATGTTCAATATTTTAGATTTTTAATTTTTATCTTTCAAATACAATATTGTTTGAACTCACATTTTATTTTGGATTTGTTATGTTGCACATTATGTTTTTATACATATCCGTAAATTACATGATTGATTAGTACTAAATTTGTATGGATGATTTTGTAAGATTTTTTCTTTTTTAGTTAAATTTAATATTTGAAAATGAACATGTATTATATAAACATGCATCCCTATTATTTTGTCCTTTTTATTTGATTAAATGTCATATAGATAGTTATATTGAAGTTGATGAATAATGTTGATTCATTTTGTTTTCTTTTTATAATTTTAAACAAAGTTCAATAAATTCTTTTAAATCAACCTTTTCATTTATTTTTTTAAAATGTTAGATTATTATTATTTTTATAAAAGTTTATGTGTTTATGTATTTCTTGATTAAAAATAATAATGTTTATCAGAGGAGGATCTTATAATGTACTTGAATTGAATTCATGTAGTTTATTGTGAAATATAGTTTATTTGTTCTTCTTTTTTTTCATTTATTGATTATGTTTATTTGTTATTTACAAACATATATATTATTTTTATTTGTTAGGTGTAAGATGAACAGATAATTCCTAATTGTTTGATGAAAGAATATGCAAATGAAATATCTAGATGTGTTATTTATAAATACAATTAGTAATGTGTGTATCATCCTCAAAATTTTAATTAGTCCTTGAGCCTTAATTTGCACTAGTATATTTTCCTTCATAGGGAAAAAAAAAATTTCTTGATCTTTTTTACTTTCTTTTACTTAATCTAGTAATATTTTCTTTTATGTGTGTGGTTTTCTTGTTTTATATGTTGTTGCATGTTAATGGGTAGGTGTTTTAGTATATGCTAAGTATGATTTATTCTTTTGTGTGCTAAGGTTAAATTTTCTTTATTTCCTCCCTATACTTGAAAAAGTTATGTATTGAATATGCTATAAAGACTGTAAGACCTATCTTGACAACTTTTTAAAATTTTTTTATGAAAAATTACAATCGACACACATTTTCCATTTATTTCTCATGTTTGTCTGTAAAATGCCTATAAATCTTGCCTCTTTTTATTTATTTTTGAGAGAGAGAAAGAATTATCTCATAAATAATATATATGCACAGTAACTTTGCATTCTCTCAAAAAAAAAAAAAATTCACTCGCTCTCTCTTAACATTTAATGCATGGACTTCAAAGCCAATAAGGTCAGGCTCTCTTTGTTTTCTCTTTAGCCTTCAGCATTCTACAAGCCACCTCTTAAAAAAAACTCATTAATTGATGTAATTATTGCGCCTTTACCCCTTGAGTTACTTACTCATAATTCGCTACCCTTCTTTTATCTTTAATTCACATTAAGATTCCAAGAGATAGAGACATAATTACTCCTCCTCGTTCAAAGTTCAAACTGCTATGGTTGGCTGGACCCTCCTTAAATGCATCTACAAATGGTGTTAATTAAGAATTATCCTCTTTTTACTCATGCACAGTTCAAAAGTCATTAGACCTACATTAAAATTCTACTTCGTAACCTTTTCCCTCATTAAATGGTGTCGCCTTGAATTGACGGCCTTGTTGGATGCCCCTAATAATTGTAATATTTAGTGCACAAATTATCCTCTTGGAAGGGTGTAAGGAATTTAATGACTTGAAGAGGGAGAAGAAGAGTTGCACGGTTTTGTGGAATAGAGAGAGAGATGAGTGTTAGTGAAGAGTAAATGTAGCCACTCTCTTAACTACCCCCTTAAAAAATAGAATTAATGCATTTTAAAAAAGGAGAATTTAAACTGGTGGTTGTCTCATACTAACTCTCGTCACTAGTGCCTATATAAAGGAACTCATTTTAATTCGTTTCAATCTTTGAATCATTTGCATAAGAAAGAAAATCTGAGAGAACTAAGAACTCTGGTTACCCTCTTTAAAACCATCATCCTACACGTTCTAAAGTTCCTTGCTCTCTGGTCACTTACATTATGAGATAGAGGATTTCAAGTCCAGAATGTCGCCTTAATAAGAAGGAATCTTGCTCTCATTCTCCTACTTCACATGATAAAGCCAAGGTAGGGGAGTTCAAAAAACCTTTGACTATAAGTGAATGAAACATGTTATAGTGTGTGATCTTTGCTTTTTTTGTCCACAAAACTTTGATCGAAATGCATGCATGATAGTCACTCTTACTCTTCATTTTTTTTGAGTTATTTAATGAACGAAATGGATTCTAATTATTTGCATGGAGCGTAATTTATCCATATTTTACTAGTATTTTAGTTCAATTTCTAGCAGTTTTTCAATAGTAAAGTTGATTGATAAAGCTGAAAATTTCATTAAAATGTTAAAATGTTCAATTTCCTTGAAATAGTTAGTTGTTTTAGATTTTATGCATTGTTTGGTATGAATAAAATCTTATAAGAAATTCTGAGCTAAGAGTCATGTGGCTGAGATTCAAGAAAATAAAGTAGAAAAAAGTGGCAAATTTGAACTTAAAAAGTGAAGAATCCAAAGTTGTATATTAAAGATATCACTGTTGGCGCATAAAGTGATAACTTTGAAGTGGATTCAGCAAAGTATGATGAAAGTGTTCACTATTTTTGTATAAAGTGAACACTACAGAGCCTTTGTCCATAAGCAAGAATGAAAGTATTTATTGTTTCTGTATAAAATAAACACTACAACGCCTATATCCAAGAGAAAAGTTGTGCGTGATCACTTTGTGCACCTATAGTGATCACATGCAAGTTTGTTACCAATAAAAGAT